TGCTGAACCTCCTGGTGGCCCCTGGTATCTTTTGGCCACTGTGTGACTGGAGGGGCCATTGGCCTGATCCAACATTGGCTCCTCTTGTGTTCTTATGTTAAGAGCAGAGGTCCATCGGTGGCTATGAGCTCTGGGGAAAGTGATGCTCTGTCTTCTTGGTGCTTGGGGGGGGGACGACGATGGGAGGGGGCTCCTAGTGTCCTGGCCCCAAAGGTGGACCTCCTGGTGGCCCCTGGTATCTTTTGGACACTGTGTGACCCAGAGTGTTGTACTGGATGGGCCATTGGCCTGATCCAGCATTGGCTTCTCTTGTGTTCTTATGTTCTTATATTTGTTCGTGTCTTGTGGCTCTCAAACACCTGATGTTTATTCTGTGTGGCTCTTACACTGACCCCGTTTAGCCACCCCTGCACAAGAGGAACAGAGGCGGCTTGGCCACTGCCTGCCTCTGCAGAGCCTTCCTTGGTGGTCTCCCATTTGAGTATTAATCACGACCAACCCTGCTTAGCTTCTGACGAGGTCAGGCTAGCCTCGGCCAACCTGGTCAGGGCAAAGAGAGAGGAATTTCAGACAGACGATATAATCCGGAAGAGGAACGGTTCCCAAACGGTTTCTGGTCTGTCATTTCAGACAGAACCGTTTTAGAACCGGTTCCCTACTGGAATATATTTGTAATTTCAGACACAAACGCTTCTGTCCCGTTTAGGAAACGGGGCTGAAGCGTTTTACCTGTCAACCGCTTCCAAGTAGTCTTCAGTTTCCTCTCCCGATTCCGATGCGCTTTTTCCCACCGTTTATCGTCCGCACGGGCGATCTCCAGCTTTTTTGTTTTTGAACATTCACTTTATAGCATTATAGCACTATAGTGCTATAACGCGATAACGGAACAGCAGTATATTAACGCCGTTGGAATGCCTGGCGTGTTTTGTTATAGTGCTATCGTGCTATAAAGCGAACGTTCCAAAAAAAAAAAAAGCCGGAGATTGCCCACGTGGGCGAAAAACGGCGGGGAAAAAGTGGTGCAGTCTGAAATGGCAAACCGCTTCAGATCCAGCTCTTTACCGGATGGGGAAAGCCATGTGTGAAATGGCAGCCCTATACCGGTTTACTCCATGACGGATCAAAAACAGCTTCAAAACGGGTTACAAAGGGTAATGTGAAATTCCTCAAAGATTTTGCAAAAAAACCAAATTATTCCCATGATTCTTGCAAGCGATCTGAGCGGTCTGCCGCAGGGGAAAGGCACCCATTCCATGTCTTTTGGATTTATGGCCTTCAATTCCGTCTCTTGCCTACAGATTCTTCACCGGAAGCCCAACCCAAATATATCAAGGGCGGGAAGCGCTACGGGAGGCGATCCTTGCCGGAGTTCCAAGAGCCTGTGGAGGACTTTGCGAAGGTGACGGTGATCGAACCTCTGAATGAGGAAACCCCGCCGCCCTGCCTCTCCAGCGATGCCTGCGACGAGGTAAGGGTTGCGTAGCGGTCTTGACCGACGAAAAGAGGCTGTGCACAAGCTGGGATTAAAATGCGGGATTCGCAGACAGAGGATGTAGTGATGGCCACAGGAATAGACAGTTTGAAAAGGTGATTAGATAGATTCATGGAGGATTGGTCTATCAGTGCCTACTAGTCATGGTGACTGAGGGGAACCTCCACATTCAGAGGCACTAATCCTCTGAATCCCAGAGTCAGGAGGCAACATCAGGGGAAGGTTTCTGCCTCTCTGCCCTGTTGTTGGCCCTCCAGATGAACAGGCTGGCCACTGTGTGAGACGGGATGCTGGACTAGATGGACCACTGCTCTGATCCAGCAGGCTCTTCTGATGTTCTTAAGAAGGTTTCTGCCTCTCTGCCCTGTTGTTGGCCCTCCAGAGGAACTGGCTCGCTACTGTGTGAGACGGGATGCTGGACTAGATGGACCACTGCTCTGATCCAGCCTCTATGTCCCGTTGTTGGCCCACCAGAGGAACTGGGTAGCCACTGCTAGATGCTGGACTAGATGGGCCACTGGTAAGATGCAGTGGGGCTCTTGTAATGTTCTTATGAAGGCCTCAGCCTTTATGCCCTGTTGTTGGCTCTCCAGAGGAACTGGTTGTCCTTTGTGTGAGACAGGATGCCGGACTAGGTGGACTACTGGTCTGATCCAGCATGGCTCTTGTGATATTCTTATGAAGACCTCAACGTCTCTGCCCTGTTGCGCCAACCAGAGGAACTGGTTGGCCACTGTGTGGGACAGGATGCTGGAGTGGATGGACCATTGGTTTGATCCAGTAGGGCTCTACTTTTGTGCTCATCAGGGGAAGGCCTTGGCCTCTATGCCCTGCTGTTGTCCATCCAGAGGAACTGGTTGGCCTCTGTGTGAGACAGGATGCTGGACTACAGGGACCACTGGTCTCATCCAGCATGACACTTGTGATGCTCTTATGAAGGCCTTGGCCTCTATGCCCTGTTGGCCATCCAGAGGAAGTGGTTGGCTATTGTGTGAGAAGATGCTGGACTAGATGGACCATTGGTCTGATGCAGCAGGGCTCTTTTAATGTTCTTATGAAGGCCTCGGCCTCTATGCCCTGTTGTTAGAACTTCAGAGGAACTGGTTGGCCACTCTGTGTGAGGCAGGATGCTGGACTAGATGGACCACTGGTCTTATCCAGCAGGGCGCCCCTGTGTTGCCTTTTCCTTGTAGGGGGTTAAGGTGCTTACGATCATTGTATCAAATGTATAACTCTTGTTGACAGAACTGTATTTAGAGTCTCTTAAGGGCCAGCTCTTTTTATAATGGTTCGTTTAGATCCAACTGAATTGGTCCTGCAGGTGTTGCCAGTCTCCAGTTGTGGCCTGGAGATCTCCCAGAATCACAACTGATCTCTAGGTGACAGAGATCTGTTCCCCTGGAGGAAAGGGACCAGGCAGTAGGTGATGGGAAAGGCCTCTACCTAATACCCTGGAGAGCCAATGCCTATCTGAGTTGTCATGGCTCATGTGGGGTGTCACCTGACGCTGCCACCACTCTGGTTCCAGGCTCCCTTGAGAAGGCCCAGAGCACCCTCCCAAGACCTTCTGACCTCCCTTTTGGCCGAATAATAGGTGTGAGGACCAGGCAGAGTGAACAATGCAAATAGTTTATTTTATAGGAGGTCAAACAACAAGATACAGAATAACAGTAAGTGGGTGAAAAGAAAAGAAATCAAATGCCCTAACGCGTCTAAATATATACTGTCCCTAGCTCACTATTCCAAGTGGCCTTATACTACTCACCCTTCCCTCAGGATGAGGGTTTCTTCCTGCAGCAGCCTTCCTTCTGGCTCTGCCCTCTGGGAAGAAGAACAGCTTTCCCTGCTGCTCCAGATCTTTTATTCCAAGCCCTCTTCTTTTCTTATTGGTCAGTTTTGGCTCCAAAACCTCTCAGGGGCTTCTGGGAGTTGTAGGCCCAGCCTCACCTACTGCTAGCCAGGCTCCCTGGGCCTAGTAGGCCTCTGGTGGCACAGCCCAGATCATGACATGAGTAGACAATACTGACTGTAATGGACCAAGGGTCTGATTCAGTATAAGGCAGCTTTGTGAGTCTGTGAGTCCACATGCAAAGTCCCGCCTTGGTGTTCCGTTCTGTTTTCCTGGCTCCCTCTTCCTGCCCATGAGATGACTCTGCCAGAGAAGCAGCACATGTGAATGTGACACCACATCTCATCCGATGCATGTCTTGCCTCCTCCATTGCCACCACATCGCTGCCTCTTCTGTCCCCTGGACAGCGTCCATCCTTGAGAGCCAGTTTGGTGTAGTGGTTACGAGCGCGGACTCTAATCTGGGAGAACCGGGTTTGAGTCCCCGCTCCTGCTCCACATGCAGCTGCTGGTGTGACCTCGGGTCAGTCACAAGTTCTCTCAGAGCTGTTCTCTCAGGAGCAGTTTCTGTCAGAGCTCTCTCAGCCCCACCTACCTCACAAGGTGTCTTGTTGTGGGGAGGGGAAGGGAAAGGAGATTGTAAGCCACTCTGAGTGAAGGGCAGGGTATAAATCTAATTTCTTCTTCTTCGTTGTCTTCAACAAATCCATAGCAGGAGTCTGAAAAGGTTGCCGTCGACACAGACATGCAAACTGCACGCTGCGTTCCCTGGACTAGTTACTTTATTCGCCTCCAACCGGGGTCTTAAAGGTTCCCCCAGATAGACCTTGTATCCCGCTTCCCCACACACACCCACAATAACCTCATGGTATTTTCACCCTGACCTGGGGTGACTCCTCAGCCTCCTTCCGAATGCTTTATGTTCTAGATTCCCATCTCTTCTTGTACTGATGTCAAGGCTTGGCTCGTGCCGTTTTGCCAAAACTTTGTTCAGTTCATACTATGTTGCTTGCTAAATCTGCCAACGTGCGGAATACTGGCGTGGAACATCTTGCAATTGGCAGTGTTTAATTTTATGATGTTCTCATTTGACATTTTCATATTGTAAATTGCCCTTGAATTTTATTTTTTACTGTAGAGCAGTGAACATAAGAAGAGCTCTGCTGGATCAGACCTCGGAAAGCTAAGCAGGGTCGGCCTTGGCTAGTATTTGGAAGGGCGACCTCCAAGGAATACCAGGGTCGTGACTCAGAGGCAGGCGATGGCAAAACCACCTCTGAAATGTCTCCTGCTTAAAAACATGTCTAGCCCACCACCTAGTGGTGCATGATTCTAAAAGAGCTAGAACGTCTGGCTGCCAGCAATCTTACGATCACCTGGCTATACTAGTGTCATGATCTGGCCTGTGCCAGTACGGCCTAGCCAGCCTAAGAGGCCTGGGTGGCAGTAGGAGGCGGCTAGGCCTACAACTCCCAGAAGGCATTGGGAGAGTCAGGAAAGATTCTAAAGGAGACCGTTGGAATCCGTTGGGAACTAAGTCTGGGGGAAAGACAGTTTAAGGGAGTTGCGGGCTGCTGGTTGAGGGTAGCTGGAGTCTCTGATCGAGAAGGGGAGAAGCCTCCGTCCTTTGCCTCCCTGCGGCTGGGTCTCGTGAGAGACAGGCCGGGCTGGGAGAAGGAGGAGCCTGAGTGAGTTAGGCAGGCTGGGGCCTGATAGGAAAAGCCAAGGAAGGCAGTTGCGTTAGTTTATTTTCATTTGACCTTTCCCCCTGTTATCCAGTTGACGCACCTTGCCCAATTTTCCTAATAAACCCTGTTCTGTGTGATTTGGTTGGTGTCCGCCTGGGTCATTCACGCCTGTAACACTCGGTTAGCAAGGGCTTGGGAGATACCCTGGGACTCCCGAGGGACCCGAAACTCCAGGGTGGTGGCGGCGAAACCCAAAGACCCCTCTGGGGGTCATGACAACTAGACACAATGCAATATGATGATAATAATAATAGACCAGTAGTCCATCTAGTCCAGCCTCCTGTCTCACATAGGGGCCAACCAGTTCCTCTGGAGGACCAACAACAGGGCAGAGAGGCCGAGGCCTTCCCCTGAAAAGAGCCCTGCTGGATCAGACCAATGGTCCACCTAGTCCAGCATCCTGCTTCACACAGTGGCCGACCAGCTCCTCTGGAGGACCAACAACAGGGCAGAGAGGCCGAGGCCTTCCCCTCACTAGAACACCAGAAGAGCCCTGCTGGGTCAGACCAGAGGTCCATCTAGTCCAGCATCCTGTCTCACACAGTGGCAACCAGTTCCTCTGGAGGGCCAACAACAGGGCAGAGAGGCCGAGGCCTTCCTCTAATAAGAACATCAGAAGAGCCCTGCTTCAGACCACTGGTCCATCTAGTCCAGCATCCTGTCTCACACAGTGGCAACCAGTTCCTCTGGAGGGCCAACAACAGGGCAGAGAGGCCGAGGCCTTCCTCTAATAAGAACATCAGAAGAGCCCTGCTTCAGACCACTGGTCCATCTAGTCCAGCATCCTGTCTCACACAGTGGCCAAACAGTTCCCCTGGTGGGCCAGCAACAGGGCAGAGAGGCCGAGGCCTTCCTCTAATAAGAACATCAGAAGAGCCCTGCTTCAGACCACTGGTCCATCTAGTCCAGCATCCTGCCTCACACAGTGGCCAAACAGTTCCCCTGGTGGGCCAGCAACAGGGCAGAGAGGCCGAGGCCTTCATTAGAACACCAGAAGAGCCCTGCTGAATCAGACCAGTGAGGGTCCACCTAGTCCAGGATCCTGCCTCACACAGGGCCCAACCAGCTCCACTGGAGGGTCAACAGCAAAGCAGAGAGCCTGAGGCCTTTCCCTAATATTGAGAAACGTCAGAACAGCCCTGCTGGATGAGACCAATAGTCCATCCAGTCCAGCATCCCGTCTCACACAGTGGCCAACCAGTTCCTCTGGAGGGACGGCAACGGGGCAGAGAGGCCGAGGCCTTCATAAGAACATCAGAAGAGCCCAGCTGGGTCAGACCAGTGAGGGTCCATCCAGTCTAGCATCCTGTCCCACACAGTAGCCAACCAGTTCCTCTGTGCCTTCACAACATTCAATATTCTCACAGCCTGTTTTTATA